CTGAGCCTGACCAGGAGAACTGAGTACGTGAGGTTCAGCAGCCACATCTTGGATTTGGTTTGGGCCAAAATATGACAGTTATTCTAATTTCTCCAGAAATAACCATTGACAACAGAATATCCCCAATAGCAAATAAAATCTACTCTCACATCTATACTTGTTTCCATGGAAATATGCACTGACAAGGTTTTTTCCCTCGTTTTCAAAATTTTCTCTGCCAGCCTACCATATTCTTTGCAGACAGCCCTGGTAACTGCATAGGTTTACCCAAATACAAAGACTACTGCAGATGTACCAAACTTGCACAAGGCCAAGTAGAGAGCTGTTCAGCGTGATGCCAAGAAAGCTTCCGTGCAGCAACACAGCTGCTAGTCCTTAATACAGAGAGCACCAACTGTCTGGAGATCCTTTCAGCCAGGGACCAACAAAATCTTTTCGTTACTGAGCACCAAGTGTTTTTGGTGAGACAAACAGCACACACCATAGTGTCACCCAGCAAGGTGAACACTAATAACAGCTCACCGTCAGCACGGTTCATGTGCTGGCCTTAGACTCTGGCTTTAAATTAGAGTGAAGGATGTAGTATTTGTAGTGCAAGCCTGTCTCAGTGGCTGCCAAACATTTTGCTTTTGGCAGTAGACCTCTGCATTGCCCCTCGCCATATGTCGCCGTCTCCAGCCATCTCCTCATGTCCCAGCTCTTGTCTGCTTCCCTGCTCTGCGCATCTGCCCCAGCCAGAAACTCCATTTCTCTAGAGACTCCTGTGAAGAGGCTGAGGCCCAGCCACAGATAACAACATTAAGTAGAGCCTCCGGGCTGTGAGTGGTGGTGACGGTGCCTTGACTTTGGGCAGTTACTCTGAAGTCGCTCAGGGTGCTGCGCGCTCACTGCACTGGAGCAGCCTGGCAAGGGGGATGCGGAAAAGCACCTGTGACCCACGAAAGGAGGGAGGCTTTTCCTGCATCTCCCAGGCAGGCCGTTTCTAGCAGCAGCAGAAGGAAAGCAAACGCCCATCCTGCTGCCCACGGAGGAAGGGAAAGGCAGGCTGTGCCAGGGCTGCGGGCAGAGCAGAAGCAGGGAGTGACAAAAGCCAAAGGCAAAGCACAGGAGTGGGTAAAAGGAACCAACACCGAAATCTCCTGGAGGAGGACTTTGGAGTTTGTCAGGTTGCTACACTGACATCGTGGCATACTGAGTTTCAGTTCTTGGCTACCAGGCAAGCCCGGCATGTAAAGTCTCATGGGACTTTATATTCAGCATTAGCTCAGAGCGGACTGTGAAATATCTCAGGTGGAGGGGCTGCAGGACTGTAAACAATGTGCAGGACTGTAAACATGTGGCAAGGGGCTGTTTAGAAGGCAGGGACCAAGGGTATCATGGGGATGGGGATCAGTGAGACCTTAGACTGAGTGCCTCACTAAAGTTTTAAACTAGTACTTAAACCGTCCAACTGACAGAGGAAGGCTGTGCTGGAGAGGCTCTGCTGTGTCTGGGAGGGGTGCAGGAGCTGCCTCGAGGCAGGGACCGACATGCTCATCCTCCTGCCCCTCGGGAGGGCACCGGGTGCCTGCACTCCATCTGCAGCTAGGAAGAGGAGGACACTGTGCCTGGGAGATATCAGCAGCCTGTAGCCTACAAACTGTGTCACAGGGCTCCTTACTCTCCTCTCCCCAAGGCTGTCACCTTCCCCCTATCCCCAGGGCTCAGGAAGGAGCAGAAGTATTCTGGTGTAAAACCAGGAGGAGTCTAAACAGGAGTGAGTAGGCTGAGAGCTGGTGTAGCTACACAATCTCATTAGGTCAGGGGCCTCCCAATAACAGTGTAAACACAGTGTGAGAAAGAGAGTAGAAATTGCAAATTAGTTGGAGACAGGACTCAACATGGAAAACAAAAGCTAGTTAGCAAGGAGGAGATAATTTGCCAACTAATGTTCCCCAGGGAAGAGAGGGGAAAAGTTCTGGAAAGTCAAACTGTGTTGAGCAAACCTTAGGAGAGCTCGCAAATTAGAGAAGGGGATAGGAGGAGATGTTAGAGAGGAGGAAGGCAATGCACTGGCACCAGGACTGTGGACACAGCTACTCCATGCCAGGCAGCACTGAGGTAAATGCTGGGCAGGAGCCCACTGCTCAGTTCAGAGCAGCAGCTACTGGGAGAGCCTGACACACTGGGAGGAGGTCAGGAGAAAGGCGATAGCTCATTGTGCAACTACAGGGGATTGATTTGCAATGACAATATGTTTCCCTTGGCTCTAAAGGGATATGGAAACAGTCTACAAACATTTGTAAAGCATAAACCCGAGCAGTAGGGAAGGCAGATTACTTACTACAGAAGATAAAACAGAGGAAAAAGCAAAGCTGAAAGCAACTAATAACATTTTACCAATGAGCTCTAGTAGGTTGTGAAATAGCCCTCATGGGGAGAGCAAGGAAAAACGCAGGTATGGGCAGTTTTAAAGCTGGGTGGGAAGAAAGTAATTAATATATGTGCAATGAAGAGCATACAGAAGAACTTGCTGAAGTGATACAAGTATTTCCACCCCCCACAATCTGTAGTCCTAATTTTCCACTGCCCTGCAACTCTTGCTATCATTAACAGCAATGCAAAGAAGGGAAATGTTTATTAAAGCAGGAGCGTAACCTTATAGTACGGCTCTGCCTGCATGCGTAGATTCCTAGACATTTCTAGCCAACAGAGAATTAGGTTTTATAATTGTGTGTAGGAAAAATGACTCACTAGCAGTGACCCTCTTCAAGTCCTCCAGAGATCTCCTCCTGCCCCATCCCAAATCTCATTAAGTCTTGATGAGGTAGGGATATGACTCCATGTTTGGATAATGTGTGTTAATGTCTCCTAAAGTCATATTCGGCTGCTTCTAAAAATCTCCCGATAATTCCCCTTCCAATTGCATTTGGGAGACCACTTATGGGACTCCTAAAGATCCACAAGGAAACCTGAAAGATCAGAGCCCAAATACAGCCCCACTGGAGGCTGAAACAGCAACCTGACAAAAGCCCTGAGAAGCTCACACCTGACCTGGCATGTACACTCACCAGCTTAATACTTCCCACAAGGAGGGAACACAGCCATGGCTTGAGAGCTGCGGTGCTGCAGCTAGTATTAATGGCTTGCCCCATTGGCCAGTGAGCTGGGCTCTTCAGACAGCAGAGAGCTGTTCCCTGGCCCGAGGATTTTTCATATAACTATTTACCAAGCTTTATAACCATCCCCTGCAGACTATGATGATGATGAATGAATGAGATCAGATTAGTCAATATGGTTTATTGGTAGAGTCTGCCCACTTGCTGTGGATGCATCATTACTGTGTGCATTCATCAGCACAGGGATGAGCACAATTCAGTTTCTCTGTCTGTACAAGATGAAACCACCACCAACCTGCAGCTCTTCAGCTTTCTCCAAGGATCCCCTAGGCCTTTCTTGGGTCCTTCCATTGCTTTGTATCCTTGTCCTGGACCATCCTAGAAGTCCTCTGGAGAGTGCCATGTCCTTCCTTATTAAAGCAAAGCAGATTAAGCTGTGCCTGTAGAGGTTAAACAAGAAATTGCTGAAAAGCCCTGAAGTCATAGCACAGTGGCTAATGGTGCATTTGCTACTACTGTCCTCTGCCTGACAAAATCAGAGTTGCTCCACTATGTGGCACAGATGCTCTGCAGCTCCACAACCAGCAATGACCCCCTTTTGCTGAATGGTACTTCTAGAGCAGGGCATTCCTTAACCCCGCTGAGGCTGTTGAGCCTGGGATCCCTGTAGAAACAAGGGATCTATCAAAGTAACTGCAACCAGCATGTTCAAAGTGGGTACCTGAAAAGGTGTACTGTATTGTCTATAACATCACTCCAGTCGGTCCTAACACATCCCTGTAGCAAGCAATAGCTTGCATTATCACTAAAGGGAATAGGGTTTCACGGCTGGAAACTGCATTGAATTGAAATTTGAGAGCTATGCCTTTCCTTTCCAGCTCTGGCACAAATTCCCTGGGTGGCCCAAGGCAGGCACCTTCATCTCCCTGTGGCTCAGTTTGCCATCTGTAAAACTGGGTTAGCATCCCCTCCTCCTTCTTATACCCCTTTTATCCTTGCTTAGATTAACTGTAAATACAGATGGGCTTGTTCGTGTGCAGGCACAGTGCAAAATAGGGGGTACAACCCTGGAAGTGCTGCTCCTATGGGGAAGGTCTGCAGGGAAGGATGCATGTGCGGAGGGGCAGGTGCATGAAAGGTCCCAGGGTTGGAGGGATGAGCTCCCAGGGGTGGAGAGACACACACATGGGGATGCAGGGATGCATGCATGGGGCTGGAGGGATGGACACACAGGGATGCAGGGATGCAGACATGGGGGTGGAGGGATACACACAGGGATGCAGGGATGCGAACACAGGGATGTGCACACAGGGATGCAGGGATGCAGACACAGGGATGTGCACACAGGGATGCAGGGATGCAGACACAGGAATGGAGGAATGCAGACACAGGGATGGAGGGTTGAGCACACGGGGATGCAGGGATGCAGACACAGGGATGCAGGGATGCAGACACAGATATGCAGGGATACACACACAGGGATGAGCACACAGGGATGCAGACACAGGGATAGAGGGATGAGCATACAGGGACGGAGGGGGATGAGCAGGCAGGGATGGAGGGATGAGCACGCAGGGATGCAGACACAGGGATAGAGGGATGAGCATACAGGGATGGAGGGATGAGCACGCAGGGATGCAGGGATACACACACAGGGATGGAGGGATGCGCACCCAGGGATGCGGGGTCCCCACCGCCCCAGCCAGCCCCGGCGCCACTCCCGCCGCAGCAGCGTCCGGCCCAGCCCCTCGCGGGGAGGGGAGGGAAGCGGGGGGGGGGGGGGGGGGCGGGACCCGGGACCCCCCTCCCGGCAGCAGCGCTGCCCCCGGCCCGGCCCGGCCCAGCCCCGCCGCGGGGCTGCGGGGCGGGTTCCCCCCGCTCCCGCCTCCGCCTGCCCCCCGCAGCCTGCGGGCGGCCGCCGGTGCCGCCGCCCCGGGCCGGGGGTGCCATGGAAGAGCCGCCGCCGCCGCCCGCCTGATCACCGAAGCCGCCGGCACCGAGACAAAGCGCGGGGCTGCCCGCCGCGCCCGCCCGGTAAGTGCCGCGGGGGGGGCTCCGTTCCGCGCCGTGGGTACCAGCCCGGGGAAGGTGGGGGGGGGTGTCCCGGTCCCGCACCCAGCCCTGCCCGACTCCCCCCGTGCACCCCCATCCTCATTCACAACCCAGCCCCCCCCCCCCCCCCCCCGCCCCTCCCGCCCGCGCCGTTCCGCCAAGCCCGGTGCACCGCCAGCATCCTCGTTCGTAGCCTGATCACCCCCCACCCCCCGAAACCCCCCAGCCTCTGGTCCAGACACACGCCGTGCACCCCTATTCATTGCCAAACGAGCCCAAACGTGCCGCAGGGAATCTGTACACACCCCACGTCACCCCAAACACCCCCACCCCTGCACCCTAACGACTCCCCCATCACCCCGTGCCCCAGCACACACTCCCAACACCCCCGCTGATTGCCCAAACACATCTCCTCACCCCAAAACCACCCCGCCCCACGCACCCCCTCCACCAAAAGCCCCCCCCCCCCCCCGCCCAAACACCCCACTCAACCTGCTCCCCCACAAACACGCCCTGGCTGCACTCCCCCAGCCCAGGCACCCCTGTCGGTGCAGACCCCCACCACCCCGCTCTCCGGCTCCTCCTGCCCGCCCTGCCCTTGCGCCTTCCTGGGGAGACCAAAAGGGGGGTGTCATCCCCCCCCTCCCCATCACCGTGCGCCCCGCTCACCTGCTGCCGCTCTCTCCCTTGCAGGCCGAGCCATGGTGGAGCCGCCGGCTGAGCCTCCCCCGCAGCCCTGCCCGGCGCCCGGGGGGGCTGCGGCGGCCGAGCCGGCCCGTACCGGGGAGCAGTCGCCTCTGCTGCACTTGGACCTGTACAACTTCGACTGCGCGGCGGCGGAAGGCAGCCGGTACGTGCTGACCAGCCCGCGGTCGCTGGAGGCCTGTGCCCGCTGCGCCGTGCGGCCGGTGGAGCTGCTGCCGCGAGCGCTGGGGGAGCTGCTGCGGGAGGCCCCCGGCCGCTCCATGCGGGTGGCCGCTGGCCTCTACGAGGCCTACGAGCGGGAGCGCCGCCGCAAGCTGCAGCAGTGCCGGGAAGAGCGGGAGAGGATTATCCGGGAGGAGAAGAGACGGATCCTCGCCCCCCTCGGCAGCCTGCCGCCCTCGCCCGCCGCCCGCGTCGCCCCCCGCGCCGCCGCCGCCGCCGCCGCTGCGCCCCGGCCCCATGGCGGGGGCAAGGCCACGGCGTCGGGTGGTGCCAAGGGCAAGAGCCACTCCTTGGACTCGCTGCAGAAGCGCCGTGAGGGCAGCTGGGGCAAGACGTCCTCCGAGTCGGGGGCCTCGTCCTCCTACAGCGGGGAGAGCCTGCGGGAGCGCGGGGGCAAGGTGGGCGGCCGGGGCCGGGGGGCAGCCATCGCTGCCGCCGGTGGGTCCCTGCTGGGGCGCAGCTTCAGCCTGGGCGACCTCAGCCACTCGCCGCAGACCGCCCAGAGGGTGGAGAGGATCGTCAAGGAGGTGAAGAGGAGGAAGGGTCTCTCGGAGGTGCCCGAGAGGGACAAGAAGATCGCGGCGCTGATGATCGCCAAGCACCAGGAGGCCAGCCTCCTGCGGGAGCAGCGGCAGGCGGCCCACCGGCAGTGGGACAGCCAGCGGCGCCTGGCAGAGCAGCGGAAGGAGCAGGAGGAAGGAGAAGCGGAGGGCCCTCCTGCAAGGCCAGAAGATGTGGGAGAGCCAGGTGGAGAAGCGGCGGGGGAGGCTGAGCCAGGAGCAGGAGGAAGCCGCCCTGCTGAAGCGGAGGCAGCGCCTGGTGTGCGAGGAGAGGTGGCGGGAGCAAGCAGAGAAGCAGGAGCGGCTGCGGAGGGAAAGGCTGGAGAGGGCTGTCCAGGAGGACAAGCAGAAGAAGCTCCATCAAGAGCACAACCTGAAGGCGAAGGAGGCGGGCAAGAAGGAGCACCGGGAGCGAGAGGAGCAACTCCTGCAAGAGAAACTGTCCACAGCTGCGCAGAAGAGGCAGAAGAAGGAAGTGCAGCTGCAGAAGGAGAAGAAGCTGCTCAACCAAGCAGAGAAGCTGAAGCACGAAGCCTTGCTCAAGGAACTGGCCAAGCAAGAGGCAGAAGAGAAGGAAATGCTGAAGGCCTCCCTGGAGATGAGTTTGACAAAGGCTCAGGAGAACTATGAGCAGTTAGTGGAGAAGAGGAACCAGGAGCTGAGGGAGAAGGCCAGGCGGGAGGACATGCAGATCCAGAGAGCCAAACTGGCAGCAGAGAAGAAGGAAAGAGAGCAGAAGGAGCACTTGGAGGCCCTGGCTAGAGAGACAGAGAGAAAGCTCCAGCATGCTGCCCAGGTGGCCGAAGAGGTCGTCCAAGAAAAAGCCCGCAAGGTGGTCTTGAGCCGTCTGGAGAAGGAGAAAGTGCAGAAGATGAACAAGCAAAAAGTGGAACAGTACGAGGACTTACGGCGCAGGGAGATCCTCCTTTCTATAGAGAGGAAGCTGGAGAGGAGCGAGCAGATCTTCAAGGAGAAGAAAACTGTCTTAGAAAATGCTAGGTCTGTCGCTCGGGCATCCTTCCATGTCCGGGAAAAGGTACGGGAGGAGACGAACGTGCGCACCTTTGATAAGATGGCCTTGGAAGCAGAACTGCACGCCCACCTGAATAAGAAGTGAAAGATCTTGTCATGGATGAGTGGGGATCCATCACCGGTTGTCCATCATAATACATCAGAAAGCTCCTCTGCATTAACATTTTAAAAACAACAACCAACAACCACCCTAATTTCTTATTTTGAGGGAGCAGGGTACTGCACAAAAACGTGGCAGCTATTTCACATACTGTTTAAAATATGGTTTTGTTCTGGGCATGTTTTAAGGACTGACCTTGGTCACCTTTGCAGAGGGGAAGCAAGTTTTTGTGTCCTCCACCCCACAAGCACACGCGTCTTCTCAGAGAGGGCTGCAGAAGAAGTCTGATAGAAGCCTGTATGTTACCGATTGATTGTCTACGCCGGAGCTGACTACAGCTGCACTCTTTGGAGTTGGAAATGTAGGCAACACAGACTACTGACTACGAACCAAACCCACCCCAGCTAATTCTGGCTTGAGTGGCAGGCAGCTTGGTTTAAGTTACGGGACTGCATTTTCAAAGTACAGAATGCCATATGTCCCTCACCAGCTGCTGGTACCGAGCTAGAGAAAGCACAGATCAAGATTTAATACCATGTAAGTAGATGTTATGATCAGAGCTGGTCAGAAGCTGTTAAAGTGCTCACAATTTCACTTTCGCTGTTTGCAACTGTTGCTCCTCCCAGGTGTCCTCAGCTCTCCTTCTCCCTTCAAAGTTCCTCTTACAAACACCCGTACAATTTCTTCTTTTCTTTTGGAGGAAGGGGGAGAAGGAGAGAAGTTTGTGGGCAGTCCACAGACTGACAGGCACCCATGAAACCCACTTGTTCATAAAGGTACAAAAATGAATGAACCTGCAGAATCTGGTCTTTGTGAAAAACATGGGTCATTTGTAAATGGAAATCTGCAAACAGATTGCTTAGAGAAATTGCCACCTTCGGGAACTCTCAAAACACAAGGAGACCCGCAGCAACCTTACCCAACTTGGCCTGCCTTAGCAGGAGGTAGAACCAGGTGTCCTCCAGAGGTCCCTTTCAACATAATAGTTCTATGAGCTGCATACAATGAGATGTTCACCCAGCTCTTATCACCACCTACTGAGCAGGGCAGCATTTATCTGTCCACTGGTGCTAACAGTTGTATTGTTATATAGGGCACAAGAAAGAGCAGATGCACAAAATAAGGTATATTACAGATTCTCTTAGATGAGGATCATGGCTTTTTTGTAACTCAATACCATTTAGAGGGAACAGAGTCCTGCCATTAATGCACTGGAAATCTGAAAAGCCTACCTACGCCCCATGTACAGCATTCAAGTAAGACAGTGTTCTGCTCCAGGTTTCTATGTTTTCTCTCTGCTGGGTTGGAGTTACGAGCACACATTCAAGCCAGGCACATTTTGCTGTTTTTTTCTGGCCCTGGGCAGTGCCAGCTCCCTCTTCCACCATCCGTGATGCCATGCTGGGTTGCTGTGGTGATAGCATCGGACCTGGTGCATGGGGGAGAAGCAGCAAGAACAGCCAGGATCTTGTTTCCTTGTGGATGTCTCTGATGTACAACACAGTAGAAGAGAAAACCAGAAGAAGGTTGACATGTGGCACAGACATGCAGTCCTGCATGCGTAGATTGCTTACCAGAATTTCCCAGGAGGTGACAGCAGGTCAAAAACCTCTTAGAAGGCTTTAAGGAAGGTGTTAAATGAACAGCAACAACAGTAGGCCAAGCACCCCCTGATGCCCTGCAAGGCTGGAGACATTATACAAACACTGTTGAAAATGAAGCAAGTAGGGATTTTCTTTGATTTTGATGGAACTTGCTCTTCTTTGAATCATGGTACAATTGGTGCTGTCGAGGGCAGGCAGCATGAAAGTAGGAATTGGGGCACCTGGGTGATGTTTGTTCCGTCAGTCATTGGCTCGCTGTGTAACGCCAGGCAAGTCCTCAGGGGCTGGCTCTGCTCCTGGCGCTATACACAGAAGCAGAGTCAGACTCTCAGGATTGCTGGGACTCGCAGGAAATAGCAACACTCAGCTTGGCAAAACACTTCAAGGACTTTGGACAAACGATGCTAACAAAGCACAAAGTACTATTTTACTATTAATTAATTATTTATTTGAGTGGTTATTAAAATAAAACATATCTGTTGGTGAAAAGCACTCATTAACACCAAAATCTAAAAATACCGGTAGCTGTGGGAAGGACAGCTGCGTTACTGTTTCTAGCTAGGAGTCTGTCCCCTCACCCATATCCTCAAAACAGCAATCGGTCTGAACGGTGAAACCAATCCTGCTGCAACACTGGACAAGGTCCTTGATAAAAACCAGCCATCTTCATGTGTTGTTTGTACCGCAGTGGTCCATGTGTGCCCTTGTAGCTGCAAAGACCTAGAAAAGAGATGCCCAGTGGCCCAAATCCAGCCTGCACAAAACTTCCCTTGCTCCCTGGCAGCATTTGAGCTGGGGTAAAACCTGCAGTGACTCCAGCACAGCCAACATTTCGTTTTGTTTGCAGCCTTTGGGGCTGCAGAGAAGGCCTGCCAGCACATGTGTGAGGGATCGTGCTCCCCGCATCATCGCACTGTGGTTGAAGTTCACTGCTTGGTCCATTTAACAGAGGGCAAATGGGGAGAGCTGGGAAATGAGAAAGAGGGCAAAATGTGGTGGGCGAAGGAGCAAACACGGTCTCTAGCTGGAACAGCAGTTTTTCCCTAAAGGTCTCCTGCAATCTACCTGAAGGCTTTGTCCAAACCTCCCTCTGATGGGATGCTTCCAGTGTAGATCGAGAACATTTTACAGCCCAGGAAACACATCTTGGCTACTGACTGTAATTACACCTGGGGTCCATCTCCTGCTGTTGGCTGACTTTAACACCCTGAGGCTACAGCCGAACTAATTGAAACACACCTACATGGTGGCAATTGGATTGGCAAACTACTGTTCTTATACCATGAAGTGTGCAGCTCAAGTTCTGAATGTGCAATCTAAGAAAAAAATATTTTTTTTCAAAAGACATTAATCTGTGTATGGATATTTTTTATTTCTGTAGTGGTTCCAGTCCAAAGTCTGTGAAAGTCAATGGAGTTTATAAGTTGTTTAAAACTGTGGCATGGAAAATTAAGTCAGCAAGTTGGGTGGAGGCATGAGAGGTATTTCTTGGGTCTGCTTATGCTTCTGTTTATTTGAGAAGGAGCTTTACTGCTGGATTTCTGTGGGAACAGAAATTAGACCTTGCGACACATGTAGAAAGTACGGCCCTTTTAGATGAGGCATGTTTGATGGTTTTGGTACTGAGCTTCAGGCCAGGGAGAACTAAAAATCAAAGCAAGCAACACGTTACCTCACAGCTCAGAAGCAGATCTCGACTTATTTAGAGCAGAGGAGCAGCTGATGACATTTGGTTAGGTCCTGCAGAAACATAACTTAGGTTAAACCTCTACTGGAATTAGAAAACACATTTTAGGCTATTGCTGTATTATAACCATAATGTTATTGTAAAGACTTTGCTTCTAGGTCATTTGTGTGCATGCTGCAGAATGGCCACTAGACCTTGAAATACCTGCACTTTAAAAGCACCAGCAACAAAAGGACAATTACCAGGAAACTCCTGTGATCAATAATACATCTTAGATACAGCTAGCATCAAATTTGCAGGTTTCAATTCCTAAACACTTGGAGTCTAGCTCCAGGTTTCACATTGGATCCCATAGGTCTAACAGGACAACCCAAAATCTGGACCAATGCCACTAAATATTCAAATCTAAAGCCAAACACTGACATGTGGACACACCTCTAACCCCACTTGAAAACCACTGCTCTGCTTACTATTGCCCATTGACTAGGACTACTGCTAGAAGCTGACCTACTAGAAACTACTCTGAATGTTTACAGTGTTTCTGAAGTTGAGATATTGAAACATTAGGGAGAAAGACTCCAATATAATTTAAATGTTCTAAAATTAATTACAAGACAAAATCCTGAGATTCATTTTCAGGTAGAACTCCCACCATTATATACTCACATTTTGCCTAGTGAGACAGTATGATCAAGCACTCAGTATCGGAAAAGAAGAGTCTGTCACACTGTTGGCTATGGCAGAATAAGACAAGTAATTTCAGAGGCCCCAGAACTGTGCAGCCTGGTTTCCCTGGGCAGGTGCTCTGTAATTCTCAATTCAGTGAAACCAAGGCTGCAGGATGAGTTCATCTTGTATTAGACATCAGAGAACCCACACATGGGGAAGAAGCATTGACTAAAGAACAATTTATTTTGCCTGAGCTCTGGATGAATCTTTTGCATATTTTGAGTGTTCATAGAATATCTTGTTTATGTGGATTGTCTAGTTTTTAACAGCACCTGGGCTAAAACTGGATCCCTCCAGTGCCAATGAGAATGCCAACGATCTCTTTCGTGTGCTGCCTCTTCACAGAAAATTCATCATTAAAACATGATCTCTCTGTCAAGGTTGAATTTGGCAGACACATTCAAAAGCTATTAAGAGGAGCAGCTGCAGCACCACTAGTTAATATTTTACGAGGTATTTTTTAATCCAGTTTATCATAAATTCTTTCACCACATGGATGAGAGATGCAAGGGTTAGATTTATCACCTTGGTTACTTACTGTGTTTCTCTTATGATGCTTATGGAGCTCCAGGCTCATTCTGTGCTAAAATTTCTCCTGATGCCAGGGGAATTCTGTTCACTAAACAAATGCTGAACATGCAGTGCACACGAGTCTGAAAGGGGACATATTTCAGTGTGCACGTCCTTACTAAGCCAGACCTGGACAGGGAGATGTGGGAAACCCAGCATTTGCACACAAAGTCCATCAACCATTACTGTTCCAGAAGTTCTGCTAAGAACAGTCCCAGAGCCACCTCTACTAGCTGTCATCAGGAAAGCCACTTCTTCAGGGAAGTGACATTTTCTGCTCCCTTACTGACCTCAGAGAGAGCCAAGCTGATCCCATACTACCTGAGGATGGATTCTCATCGCCACCAGTTGTTAAACCAAAACAAGAAATTTGCTTTCAGTTGTGGGTGTTCTTCCTCTGCTGGTAAAGACAAAAATGTAATAGTTAGAATGCCATTTTGAAAAGTAGAGGGGGTTTGTATCTTTTTTTTCTTTCTTTCTTTCTTTCTTCCTTCTTAAAGCAGATACAGGGAGGTATAAGGACAAGACACAAAACTAGTTAGATGCAGCACACTGTGGGTGATGGCTGGCTCTCTTCACACACAGTTCTGCTTTGCAGGCCTGGGACTGTGCTGTTGTTTAGCAGAGCAGCCACCACATCCAGGAGAGCAGAAGTGCTTTGGGAGGGTTCTGCCTGTTCTCAGATTACACAGGCTCCCTTCAAAGCGTGCAAGTTTAAGCTCGTTTAATGCTTTGCTGAGTCAAAATCCTAGGGAATAAAGTTTGTTAGATTTAGCTGTCATAGTTGTAAAAGAAGGCTGTCATAGGCAAAGAAGAGGAAGACACTGGCTTAGCCCAGTCCCCCTGGAAATGAGCCCTGTGACATTTACTTTGCAGTGCAGTACGGCTGTGTTCTAATGTGAGCCAGAGGAGCCCTTATACAGCAGCTTTTGGGAGTGCAGCCCCACAAGCCTTTGGCAACCAAGTAGTACCCACTGTAAAGAGCCAGTACTGAGGCACTGAAAGAAAATCATAATGCTTCTGCTTCTAGGCAGGAGGCAGCTCTGCCCTTCTTTTTGGTGAGATGTTAATAGATGATGGTTTGAAGAGAAAACAATACAAAACCCTTCCATACAAAACACCTGGAAACACATTTTTCATTTATGCAGAGCAACCAGCGCTCTGGGGAATGCCAGTGTTCAGAGCCTTCAGAATGGGATATGCCCCACATGCCTCTTAATGATAGGGCATAAAAAATTCAGTTCTAAGTCTGACTTCTTTGTCCTTAGCCCGTTCTTTGAGTGTGGCTCTTCGCTGTGAAACACACCCTTGTTACTGTAAGATTCTAGTGTAAAAGGACCCGAATCATTCTCGGGCAACTTTGCACTCATCTCCTACATCCCTGCCATTCAGCAAAAAATCCCCCACGTTACAAAACCACTCTGGCAGTAAGAAATATCTTGTATTATAAAACCAAACTGCCAGTGCTATTTTGTTCTTATGTGCTTTACACAGCTCCCCGCATCTAATCACAGGACCTGGCTGTGAGGTAACCTAGTTATTGCCCCCAGCCTAAGTATGGGAAAACTGAAGCAGAACGAACAGATGTGACTTGCCCTGGGCCATGCTGGCCTCTCTGATCTCACTGGAGCTCTCACTCACATCCTCCCTGTCCCCCAAGCAGCCCTCTAATTAGCTGCTCCTGGTTGCAAGGGAAGGGTATCCCTGTGCCCCTGCTGTGGCAGCTCCTCTGGCTCCTGCTCTGCAGCTGGTGCTTCATGGAGGAGGAAGGTTTTAAACTGCCAGCCTCAGCTTCTGGGCATTGCTCCCAAACCTTGAAGCACAGGGGAGGCCTGAAGGTGAGTGACACATATAAGGCTGCGCTGGGAGCGGAACAGAGGCAAGGTGGGAGGAAGGGTCATTAGCAAAAATGGGCAGGAGCTGCAGAGGGAAATGTTAAATAAAAGAGCAGGTGTGGAATGAGAGTCCTTATACCATCCTGGCTAGCCAGTATCGCTTATATCTCTGTGTCTGTATGACCACATACAATAACACTTTCTTTCAGCACATGAAAGTTACAGGGCCCAGTTCATCCCATTAGTTACCTCCCTAGAGCCAGCAGAGTTACTCCAGGAATGAATACAGCCTAGATATATTAAACTTTTTATTATTTATGTAAATCACAGTGGCTTGGGATAGGTTATGCTTCCAAGGGCTTAGTGGAAATTTCCCCCTCCCTGCACTGTACCCGGACAATGGGATGGGAGGGTCACATATCAGTTGGTATTTTTAGGCAGGGCGATGATTTTGTCAATACCCCGTGCTGCAGGCTGTGTTCCTGGGTGTTTGCAAAGCAATGTCTGCTTGAACAGCTCAGTGCAGCTGAGGGGAGGAGCGGCTGGCACAGAGGCACCTTGTCAGACAGCAAGCTAAACAGTGGGGAGTAAGAGATTTGGCTCTGTGTCTGTCAGATGCTACTGGGAATGTTTTGGTTTGTAAGAGGGTGATGGGATAATTTCTTCTCTTTTTTAATCATGTCCAAAGTAAGCTGTGCTATTTTTGACAATTATTTAATGATTTATAAGAGATGGGAAAATAAAAGGAGAGCTCATAGACGTGTAGGTAAAGCATAAAGGCATTTTCCTTTCTCTCCTGAAAAAAGCCCTGAGCATTATGCCAGTGGCTGAGAGTTTTGTTAAGTGCCAAGTTGCATGTGTTTTGTTAGACCCTAGGAGGGGGGCCACTCTGTTCACAAGCTTTGCTACCTGTGCACCTGTCTCCTGTACATGCCGAACGAGACAGGCTTCACGTTTACCTCCCAGTAACAGCTATTTCTTCAGATGTCACGGAAAAGGTGAGATCTGTGAACAGAAAGGCAGTATTTTCACTGTAGAGGGACCACTGCACAGCTGTCCTGGGTGGACTCAGCCCACGTCTGACATGCAGCCCCGTGGAGGAGTGGCACTTCGCTCACATCAGGGGATTTCTGCAGTTCTCATCCGGACACTGTCTAGGAGCTTCTGCACCATTTTCAGCTCCCACCAGATCCAAGCTGTCCCTGTTTCCTAGCTGGTTTGGTCCTGAGGCTCCTGCTCCTGTTGCCTGCAGCTAGGTACGTGGGGAGCCAAGCACAGGGTGCAGCCAAGGCTCCACTTGTTTGTAGGGGCTTCAAGCCAACTAGTTTGCCCTGCCCTTATTTAAACTGAGGCATGCCCGTGCATGAGCAACTACAGGAACTGTCTGAATCTGGGTGGTGTACGTTGAAAACCCACAGTAGAACTAGGATGTTGCAACATTGCAAAGGGATGCTACTGTTTGATTTTTAAATAGCAGCACCACTGTTAATTTTCTTCCCTTGCATTGCTTTCCCAGACAGTGTA